AAATCCGAAATCATTATAGTAATAAGAAGTAAATATTTTGTCTGAAATTTTGTCTGAAACGTAATGATAATTAGTTATAATTTATTATAACATATTATTATTTCGTATAGGTATTTCTTAACACGAACATACGTTTTAATACGTTTGCTATTTGCAATAGCATCACAAAGTATACTTTAAATGTTTGTATGCTATCCCAATGAAAAATTTTTCGAACATAATTATGTAAAATTATATAAAATTATATATAATTATGTATGAAATTTGTCCATACATGTTAACATATGTTACTTTTATATAATCATGTATATTTTACATAATTATGCATACAATTATATATAATTATACATATAATTATGCATAATTGTGTATAATTATATATAATTGTATATAATTTTATATAATTATATGATTATATATAATTATGTATGGACAAATTTTAAATATAATTATGTATGAAAAACTCTTCATCGGAATGTGTTTAGCATTTCTGTCTAGGACTATCTTAAAGATATTCTGCAGACATTTAAAACAAATAGGATGTCTTTCAGATGTTTTTAAAATATCTTTCAGATATTTATGCTCTGTATGGAATTAATTTGCTGATTATCAAGGAAAATTTCAATCGGCTACTATGTTGAACACTGAGATAAATCAATTCGCATGTATCTTCCGTCGTCAACTGCTACCTCCAGCTGTCAAGACGCGAAGGTACACGGAATGTGTTTTGATGTATCGTTAAAATATATCTTGCATCCCTGCAGTAGAAATCTATACGGAGATGTAGCCCTTCGTCTCGACGAAACGCGCACTCACATCGCCGAGACCGAGTCGTCTCGAACGTCGTAGCGTTCATGTTCCACCACGAATCGACAAAGCAAACACCGCGTCGTATTTCCAAGAGAGACGAGGGGTTAAGCAGAAGGAAGAGGGTTAAAACTCGATTGTCATACAAAGTCGCATAATAATAGTTTTACATTTTACTGCCTCTTGGTGATAACGCGTGCGTGCAAGTGTGTGTATGCATATATATATATATATATATATATATATATATATATATATGTGTGTATGCCCGACACGTTCCTCTCGAGGGAAGAAGAGACATGAGAATAAGTAGAGATTAAAGAGAGACGCGAAGTTGCAAATAAAGCGGATAAATAACGACTATTTTAGTGGCTGAGCGCGAGCGCGACGAGCAGAATAGTTCTCAAAGATGGGAACGGGTTCGACTCGCGTTCAACGCGCGTGCGAGATATCAGCGCGGAAGGATAGCGGCGATAACAACGTTTCCAGGCAATTCAGGCAATCCATATTAATAGTTGTCACCTGAAACATGTCTCACGTGAGATATCTGGATTTTTATTCAAGCCCATATTAATAATTGCTATCTGAAATTAATCTCATGTGAGATACTGAAATTTTTATTTAGAGTTAAGTCTAAATTTTTCAGATATGTAGGATATATTGATACATATATATAGTCGCGATTCACGAATGAAAAATGTTCATCTAACTCTGAATTCAAATCTGAGCATTCCACCTGAGGCAAAATTCAAATAATGTTTATTAATACAAGTCTCAAAGTTAGATTCAAGTTTTTCAGTTGAATTATATGACAAAAATGGCATTTAGATTTCTACACTGTAAAAAATGTTGCATTAAATTTAATACATTTTATATGTCCCACTCTATATATTTTATATCTACCCACTATAATTTCATATTACTTTTACAATTTTACATTAATTTTAAAAGACAAATATATTAACAAGTAACATATCTTTTTTTTTACAACATTTCTCACATAAATTATGTCACTGAGAATATATATGCTATATATAAATTATATTATTTCAGCATTGAGAATAGGAATTCAATTCAAAATGATAAGTTGAATATGTTAAATTAACACATGTATGTTAAAAATTAAATACAAAAATTACTACGGTTGATTTCGACACAAATATTTTTTAATGTTTTTCATCGTGTAATCGCGATTCAAATGAAAAATTCTAATCTAACTTTGAATTCAAATCTGAAAATCTCACTTGAAACAAGTTTCAAGTAACAAACACGGATCTTAGAGAGATAGACAAGACAAATTTCGCAGTTAAAGAAACGTTAACTGTTTGAATCTACAAGTTCATATGCGCGCTTTGGGAGAACTCAAAACGAAATTTTTTACAATTAATGGTACATATTTCTTCATTATCAGCAATGACTTATCAATTTTTTGATAATTTATTTTGTATATTTTATCTTCATAAAAATCAGTGAAATTATATTGTGTGAACTTGATTTGATAATTTTATCACATAATTATATGATTGCGACTACGAGTAAGAAATATGCTTGTTTGTTAAGTTCCTAATTCCAAAATTAATCACGAATTAACAATGAGTACTGTATACTGAAAAAAAGAAGAAAAAAGAATGAAAGAGAGAGGAAAAAAGAGAGAAAGGAAAAAAGATTCACTCGCCATCGATTGTACAAAAATGCGTTTCCGTTGCCAAAATTGATTACAAATCGACAGCGCGTTCGTGCCTCTTAAGACGTGATTATACTTAAGTAGAAAGTCTCAATTTTTCGTATATACGTACGTAAAATGCTTAAGAAAAAAAAAGCCCGGGGAACAAGTTGATTAAGTGCCGATTTACTATTCCTCCTACTTTTAATCCCACGACCGATCGATTCCGTATAGACAGATCAAATAGTTGTTCTTACTCGATGTATAATAGCGATAGTACTATTGTATTATTATTATTATTATTTTTATATATGAACATTTGTATACTTTGCATCCTTAGAACTGCGTTTTTAAGAACAGACAGGTAGCAGTCGAACCGTGGAAGAAGAAAACGAAAACGGCATCGCTTCACATATCCGTAGTGGAATCTTTTCTAGGACCAAGCGTTTTCTACGGAGTAGTGTTCTCTTGAAACGAGAGATCTCGCCTAATTAACGAATCATCCTAACTTCCTACGAACCTTCAGTTACCGTAGTGCGTCGTGCATGTTTAGGAGGCAGCTCGGCGATTCGAATTCGTCGTTAACAAATGAGTAAGATAATCCATGAGACTGTAAGAATTAATTAATTTTTTGAGAAAGACTCTTTGGACAAAATTTTTCGGAATAATAGAAATAGTTACGTCGCACGATTCTCTTCGACGCGTAAGACAATAACTTTTTCTCCGTGAACGTTTTCTCGCAGCAGAGGGACGAGTCGCCGACGCTGCGGCTCGCTGTGTAAGTGATAATTACGTAGCTCTTCATCGTTTAGTGTACACTTTAACGGGATATATTTCGAGAATCACAAACTCTCATCAACGCTCTTCAGAGTGCCTGCAGGTGTGGAATCGCTCAATACTGCTCTCGGCCGCTGAATTTTATCGATTACGTTGACACCCTGCTCAAAAGATTTTATAGGATTGGATAAAAAAAGTCTAACCATACAGCATAAATGTTCAAAAGACATCTTAAAGGCATCTAAAAGATATTCTACTTGTTTTGAATCTCTTTAGGATGTCCCTAAGACGTATTTCAGACATTTGTGCTGTTTGAATATGTAATTGAATCATGTTAAAAAATAATAAAATCACATAAGAAGGTATGTGTATTCAGATAAATATTTACTCGCTCGGTATAGTATTTAATCATTAAAAGTTGTAAAATGAGTCGAGAAGCACAAATTACTAAAAGATGCCTTAAACACGCCTAAAAGAGGTTCAAATGAAATCAGACACTTTTTGAACATCTTTAAGATATTTTTCACTATGCCGCGTCTGAGAAGAAATTGATAACTTTTCTTACAAGAGCTAAAATGTGAGGAACTGAAATTTCTGATAGGAAAAATAAGCTCAGATGAAATCATATTCCAGATAGTACAGAGAATTCAAGAAGAATTCATTAGACATTTTATTTTCATGTCACCAATTCTGAATTTTTTTCTTCTGAATTCAGATACAAAAAGAATTCTTTTCATAAGAAGAAATGTATCTGAAAAAGAACTTAGAATTGATGACATAAACATGAATTCTTTTGGAATGTTCTTTGCTATTTGGAATAGTATTTCAATAAAATTTATACATGTTCCTATCAATGCTTCTCGAATTTTTTAAGCAGGATATGCGAGTTTATAAAGTATAATTTTGCGTAACCATCACAATGCGACGATAACTTTTTTTATCGTTGAATATTGCGATAATGTATATTTTGTGAATTTTCAAACGAAAGCATCAATATCATTTATTAACAATGATGAATGTAATCATAATGTTTGACGAGCGTTAAAGATCGAATGCAGAACTTAAATTGGTGCATTCAAAGAGAGAATCTCAAACGATCATTATTAATTTACAATATTGATCAGATGTCAGTAAACACTTAACATTGTAACATACAAAACACCAGCAGGCACTCTGACTCGTGACAATAAGGCATCAATAAATTCGAATGATCGATGGTAAAATTGGGTGAAAGAGAGAAAGAGAGAAGGAGAAAGAAAAAAGTGAGGGAGAATATTACCGATATGTGAATGCATTTTTTATATTAGTTTTTACGTTAAAACCTGTAAAATATGAGCGTGCGTTTCTCGGTCAATTTCGTGACATTGACCTAATAACGATTAAACGTGTAAAATAATGCATCATTGTTCTGCGTGACGCACGTCACAGTTTGATGAAGGGCGTGCGAGAAAAGAATTGTAGCTTAGGATCTGAGCACGTAAGAAAAGAGAAAAGTATGGAAGAAACAAAAAAAAAGAATATATATATATATATATAAAGAGCGAACTGTGACAATATATACATATATTATATTGTGTAAACACGTTGTGTATTAATTATGCAACCCTCTTGCTCGCGCGACCGACTGAACGAGTTCGTTGAAGCTGCGGAAAAGTAAAAGAAGAAGAGAGATAATATAACGAACGTCGACCCATGTGCATGCACGAAAAACGACGACTGCTAATTATAAAAGACGGAATAACGGACTCTCGTGCTTGATTACATACGTGTCTATATTTGCATATGTATATAAACATATAAGTTATAAATACAATATAGATCCGCGTATTTATAACTTATACATATAATAATAATATTATAATAATATGTATATTTATATAATATTTATAATTCTTCTTTTTTCCACAGCGATGTGTTGTACAATTTATCGAGGATACATGGAAAGAAGAGAAAATTTACATTTCATTCTTCGGTAAGGAACAAAGTACTGTTTTACACTTCCTGTTTTGAACTCCTGTTTTCCTTGAGTTTCTTCGATTCTCTTTCAGAGGATCTCCTAGAATGTGCGAAATAAACGAGGGATATTGTTGGCTTGTTTGACACTCGCTGACAAATCTGAGAAGCGTTTCGGCGACTGTAACAATAGTGAGGGACAAATTACTTGACAACTTATTTGTGGGGTATAAAATTTTCTGTGAAACTATCGTGAGAGTATTTGAAGTTGAATTTTCAGCCAATTTCGCATAATATTCCCTGGATATATAAAAAATGGTTAAAAAATTAACAAGAACTTAACACTTGAATACCGTCAGGAATCACAGTTTGTGTTAAATTGACATATGTATTAAATTAACTAAAATAAAACGTTATTTTAATATTTAAGAGAAGTATTAATCTACAGTTTTGATGAAATGAAAATATTAAATTGACATAATCTATGTCTGACATATTAAACATGTCAACACAACCTATAAGTTATAATTAAATATGTTTAACACAACCTGTGATTCCTAATGGTATTCAAGTGTTAAATTCTTGTGTTAATTTTTTCCATATTATGCATGTTACTTTTTACCACATTTGTTTTGCGTTAAATTTACACATAAATGAGAGTGGATGATTTGGGACACATGAAATGTTAAATTTAACACATCAGTTTTTACAGTGGACCTTCTTGTTCAGTTTGACCTGATCTACCTGTCGCGATTCCTCTGTGAGTTACCGGACATCCTGTATATATATCATTCCTTCTTATCCTACTACCATACGGTGAAAAACCTTTTGTATTTGCAGTTGAAGTTAATCCGTGAGGAAATTTTTGTGTTAAATTTTTAACATGCCTGTATGTTAATTTATAACATCGCTTTGTAATCATGACTTTATTCTGCATTGAGTTCACATTCATCGTTTCCAAATGTTAAAATAACACAATTATTCATATTTAAATGCTCGAATTCTTAATGACATAGTTTATGTATAAAGTATACAAATAAGTTGTATTTTAATTGTTTACATATTTGCCTTGTGTTAAATTAACGCAGAAATTAGGGGTAAATAAATCGGGACTTGTAAGACGTGTGGAATTTAACATAAAATTTTTGCAGCGTAAAGGCAGATTTTGCAACAGCAATTTAAACTTGGATTTAAGTTTGAAGACACGTAAGATGATTTAGATTTAAGATTTAAAACATGTTCAGTGCGTGTGTTTGAACAGCTTTTGTCATAAATAAACTTTCTATCCCGCAAATAAATGTTCAAGTGTTTTTCCTCAGCGCACTGAGAAAAAAAAAGGCTTGAAGATTTACTTGCGTTTGTCTGTGGGATAAAATTTCATCTCGCAGAAATAAGCTTGGTTTTGCAGAAATAAACTTTACACTCCACAAATAAGTTTTTCAGCATTTTCTCCTTAGTGAAACTATTCGCAGAATTACCTACGCGTCGCTATGCTATACGTAGTAAAAACCTCGAAAAATTCCATCGGTGTTATTAAAGATTATATAAAAACGAATCAACCAGGATACAGGCCTGTCGATCGATCATCACTCAATGATACATTCATCACGACAAACATCCTGTTCTTCCTTTCGAACGCGGATGCTTCAAATAGGCGCAAGCGTATAAATAATTGTGCATGCTCGTGGATATATCGTCAATAATTGACGGTGCGCGATTAGGCTTTCATATTGCTACAACTGGTTTGTCGCTCGACGAACTTCCGCCGCGAACCCTTCGGCTCATCAACTAAAAACACCCCTATCTTCTGCGGGAGTTCGTCGAAACTCACGCTAAAAGGATCTCGCGCGATATACAATTTACAGGACGCGGTCATAATTATACATATTAATTCCGCGCAGGTTCGCAGTCGGACGCTCTCTCGTTCGCAATCGCAATAACACTGAATCGCTAACGAGGATCTGGACACTTTGGGTGTGATGTAATCCGCGCGATAGAGAAGGAAAAAAATATCTAGTTGTTCCATAAGTTCGCGCGGATTTTTCGACAAAACTGAAATGCATTTTATATTTGTTAGAAACAATTTTAACGAATAATATATACGCTATTCTGTTCGATCATTTGCCACACACTAAAAAATAAAATGTTAACTTTAACATTTTTTACATATAAGTCAGAAAATCCAAATTTTGTGTAAAAATAACTCATCCGTGATGTGTTATTTATTGATGAATTACGAATATTAATTAGTTGACATTCACTGATTTTTTTCTTATATTCATTTTGATATTTTGACTTTAAGCTCAATGTAGAAATAACATAAAGAATAGTAAAAAAATACACGAAATAGTAGTGAAAATAACTCGTAAGGAATGTCGATAGAACATTTTTGTTCTTATAATGTGAACAAAGGAAATAACGTTATTTTTTATGTTATATTAACATATGATATTAATTACTTTAGCTTAACTTATTCGAGAAACATTTGTTCTTAATAAATTTAGTTATTCTATATGTCAAGATTTACAATGATTTGAATACTCTTCTTAGTTCTTGTTAAAATAACTTTAAGAAATGTCATCTTTTATAACTGTTAAAAAATTCAAAATAATTCCATTTCTAAGTGACATAAGTTATTAAACTGACATTAATATAACACATTAAAACGAAAATAATAACATATCAGTAATATATTAATTTTACATTAAAATAACAGTAAAAAATCAGTGAAAATTTTAACATTTGTACGCAAGGTTTTTAACTATGCATCTTCCACGTAATTTCATAATTCTTTTCTCGTAAAACTCTTGTACTTTCCCAGCGAAAAAATATTCCAAGTCATTTTTCATATCTTCTAAAAAAGCGAAGTTTATACCGTCAAAGGAGTTCCGTAATAAACGAAACAAATAATAACCGCAGGAAGCAATGTTGAGTAAATATGACGGGTGAAGCAGAATATGTCAACTAAATTCTAGCAATTTTTACGAAAGTTGAAAAGCATAATACACCGAAAAAACTCACTACTGCCTTCCATTTTTAAACCGCAACAAAGACAAAATTATATTTCTTTAAACAAATTTTCTTTTTTTAAACTATCACCACAGAATATGCTTTGGAATGTTAACTATCAAAGCGTATAGATGGTCAACTATGTATGGAACTATCTTTCTAATATCAACATATGAATGCCAACGAGACAAAAATCCACACGAACTTATGAGTCAATTTAATATTTGAAAAGTTAATATTTGAGAAATTAATCGCGATAGTCGACGCCGAGATCAACTTTCCTGGGAAACTATCATGGGACTACTTGCAATGAAGTTGGATTTTTAATTCGGCCATTCTCTTGCACATTCCTAATAAATATCTATTATATATCGTTCCTTTCTATCGCTACACGATAAAAAAACGATAAATTTTGAATTTGCAGTTAAAATTGACCCGTATGGAAACTTTTGTATTAAATTTTTAACCTAGCCGTATGTTAATTTATAATCATTTTGTCATTTCGACTTTATTTTGCGTTAAGTTCGCATTCACCATTTCTAAGTATCAAGGTAACACAATTCACATGTAAATGCAGGAATTCTTGGTGATACATTTTATATATAAGATGTACAGACAAGTTATGTTTCAAATGTTTATATATTTGCCTTGTGTGTTAAATTAACACAAAAATTAGGGTTGAGATATATTAGGACATGTATTGTATTTAATATAAAATTTTGGATCGATTTTATAATAGCAGTTTAAACTTAGGTTTTAAGTTTTAAAAGATGTGAGATGAGAGAAATTTGTATTTAAAACAATATGTTTTATATATTTCAACAGCATTTAAAGTTGAAATAAGTCTTAACTATTATTTAAAAATGAGACTTAAGTGTGTTTTTTTAAAGATTTCTTCTTTTTTTGTAATTTCGTTCGTATCTTTGGTCTATCCATATACAGGGTGTCTCACACTCTCCTCCGGGCATTTTGTGGGGACGTAGAACAGGTTGCGTTGAACATAAAAGTTCTATATCGTTTTGCGATATTCGCAATAAGTATCGAGATATTATTTGTAGAAAATTTATGAATGATCATGCAGGATATGGTAAATGTGTTATAATAGCGATGACTGCCGTCGTGTACTTATACTTTAGATCAAATTGAACAAAAAAGTCTTCTACCATTTCGCAAATAATCATATAGATTTTTAATTACTTAATTAATTAAAGAAGATTAATTAATTTTAATTAATTAAAGAAGACAAATGCATTATCACGCAAAATCGTGCAATAATCTTCTTTAATTAATAATTAAAAATTTATGTTATTATTTGGAAAATGGTAGAGGACTTTTTTGTTCAATTTGACCTAAAGTATAAGTAAACGACAGCAGTCGTCGCTACTATAACTCATTTATCATATTCTGCATGATCATTCACAAATTTTCTACAATTAATATCTCGACAATTATTGCGAATATCGCAAAACAATATAGGATTTTTATGTTCACCTCAATCTGTTCTACGTCCCCACAAAATTCCTGGAGGAGAGTGTGAGACACCTTGCATATATATGCGATTTTTTAATAATAATACTGTTTTAGAATTTAATCTGTCTTATCCAATTAGTCAGAAAATCAGCATTAGAACATTTTTCCGATTGTTTCGGATATAAACTGCGTGATAAAGCTGAAAAGCGAAATAATCTTGAATCCTACTGAGCAGCTTCCACGGTGGTTTCCCAGAGTGATTGCAACAACGCGACATTCTCCAACGACGGATTATAAATAATTTTACAGTGTCGCGTGAGCGAGCCGTTATTATTAATAAACGCCGAATCGTCGCAGTTCCATGATAACCCTGCACTACTCTCTACGCAATTTTTATCATCGTAAAATATTATAGCGCCACAAATAGCTCAGTGCCACATCCACTCTGACGGCTTTACTACCTACATGCACCATTATTGTGCATCAACAGACCACCGCGATAAGTCAATCGACGTTAAAGCGGCGGTTCCGTTATCTCGGCAAACATAGCTGTCACAACCGAAAGCACCGAGGCATTTATTACAGGTAGTGTTGATGACAACGAATCGCAGAGATAAAGAGGGAAGGGCGAATTAGGAGGGCAGGGACGTTGGATAGATGACAGCATGTTGCTTCGCGGCGAAATTCATTTTAGCGATAACG